ATATATCTTGTAAATGCAGATATTTAAATGTTTTCTAACCTTTAAGAAAAGTATATTTTCAGTTTTTGTAATAAATGTACATTTGTCATGAATTCTTCCTGCAGTTAAGTGTGTATAAATCACAAACAGACGATTGAGAAAATAGATTAAACCTGTTTGTTGTCTGAAAGCAGGGTGATTCTTTAATTTAATATATAATATGGTCAGATATTCCTGCCTAAAGATTATTCAGAGGGCTGTCACGATTAAGTAAAAATCACAAAAACAAATAAATAAAAATGTCTGTCAGGAAAGAGTTAAGAGCATTCAGCGCTACGACATCAGTGCTGCTCCACATACTTGAGTTTGTCCAGTGTGTAGTTTGGATCCTCCAGTTGTTCAGAGAGCAGCTTGACTCCTGAATCTCCTGGATGATTGTAGCTCAGATCCAGCTCTCTCAGGTGTGAGGGGTTTGAAGTCAGAGCTGAAGACAGAAAACCACAGCCTTCCTCTGTCACCATACAGCCAGACAATCTACAAACACAGCAATAGTCCACATCACACAGTTGGACAATCACACATCTCTTTGTGTTGTGAAGATGCTGACTGCTGTTTCTGCTCATGTCAACAGCAGTGATGAACACACACATCCTGATCAGCTCTCCTTATTGATCGAGCCCTCGCATCAGCACACACACACACACACACTCACACACTCAACAAGGACTCGACATCATCTGTAGAAGTGTACAGAGCAAAGACATTGTTCATAATACACCACATCAAGCTGTAAAGTCTGCTGTGAGGAGGAAGAAGACACACTTGAGCTCAGAAGATCATCTTAAAGTCATGTATAAAACACAACAGGAAATGAGCTGATTTCATCATTTATATTGTGATTCTGTTGTGGACTAAAACAAAATGAGCTCAGACAAACACAAAGCCGCTCTCTTCATGTGTTCATCACCTGACCCACAGTCACATTCACACTGATGCTCCATTAGGGGACTTTTATTCTGTCAGGAGAGAAACAGCTGATCAATATTCATGACTGCTGACTCTCCTTCACATTCAGCCTTTAGCAGATATTGCTTTAGATGAGCGAGTAATCAGGATTATTTCACACACTTTATCATGAGACTTTTATTTGTTTTCAAGAAACTGAAACTGCACAAATATGAGAGCAGCTCAAACCTTCAGCAGGACACAAAACAGCTTGACTTTAGCGTTTAACTCTGCTGCTTTCACACCTCCAGATCCACTGTTCTGCTCTGAAACAGGATTAACACTGCTATAATGTTTATTTGTGTTCTCGCTGCGCTTCACTTTCACACAGAAATGTTGAATGTCGACACCCACAGACAGACACAACCTGGTAAAGTTTTCAAACAGTGAACTGAGACTGCAACTAATAATAATAAATACTGCAAAAAACCTACTAAATTTCAGCTAAATGTTTTATTGTTAATTTTCCTCTTTTTAATTTTGTATTTAATATTTTTCTATAACACATAAACATGAGTGCCCTAGTCTTTACACCGTTATCATGAGTTATTTTGTTAGATGAGCTCCAGATTTGGCTGATCTATTGTATATGCACACATATAATACTGTAGAGCTTCCTATTAAACTATGAATGTAAAAGAGAGATTAGTGAGGGGTGTACTTATATATGCTGAGCACTGTATATTGTTCACCCAGAGTGTTTACATGGTCACACAGCAGTAACACAACAAGCATTGAGTTTGGGCTAGCTTCTGCAGATGGACATTGCTGTACACTGCCCTTGATGGGTGAGTGGGGGAGTGTCTGTTGTCTCTCAGGTGTGAATTATTCATGAGCATTGTCACTCACACATACAGCTGAGATCACCCAAAACACACTTAACAAAATGTAGATCATTGTAATGTTTTCTCTGAATGAGAGAACAGAATAATTTCACATAATTGTGCAGTAAATATTCTAGTCTACAAGACTGCTTACTCTAAACTCTTGTTCAGGCACATTCAGTCTGGTTTATGGATCTTATTTCAGCTATATTTGTTTCTCTAAAACCTACTAACCACACATAATATTTATTTATAAAACACCAGCATGTACATCAATATTTCCCACATATTATTGTAGCTCAGTTTGTGCTGAACACTAATAAAACACATGTTGGCCAGTTCTGTGTAATAAGTAGCTGAAATCAGCACAGATGTCAGGGCATGTCAAAACATCTCAGGGGCCAAAATCACCTCAGACCCCTGAGGGTTAACTACAGGTATAGTATGAGCAGTGTGAAACACAATCACTGATAAACCAGAATTCCTGTTATCTGGGGTTTAGTATCACCCAGGGTTAACATGTTCAAGCATGAAGAGCTCTAATATGAAACTGTCTGACTGTAGTTATTGTAGAGTGGAGAATCATTTACCTCAGTGTCTCCAGTTTACAGTGTTGACTCTTCAGTCCATCAGAGAGCTTCTTCACTCCTGAATCCTGCAGGTCATTGTTACTCAGGTCCAGCTCTCTCAGCACACAGTTTGAGGATTGTAGAGCTGAAGACAAACTCTCACAGCACTGAACAGTGAGATTACAGAACTGTAGTCTGTGTAGAGGACAAAGATAATATTGATTGAATATTGTTGATCTGGTGTGTTTAATAGTCTGAGGACATCTGACTGTAGCAGAGATGGCAAAAGTACACACATCCGTTACTTAAGTAGAAGTACAGATACTCATGTTTAAAACGACTCTGGTAAAAGTAGAAGAACTGACTACTCTTTTAAAAAAGTACACTTAAAAAAAAAAGTAAAACGTAGCAGTTTCAACCACAGTCCAAATACACACAGTATAGGGGAATAATAGGTAACTAAATAGGCAGTAGTGTATAAGTGTGTGTGTGAATGGGTGTTTGCCAGTACTTGGTTGCAGCCGAAAGGATATCTGCTGTGTAAAACATATGCTGGAATAATTGGCGGTTCATTCTGCTGTGGCTACCCCTGATAAATCAGGGACTAAGCTGAAGGATAGTGAGTGAGATAGGTAGGTAACTAGTCCTCTCATACTATTGATACAATATTATAAACTAACCTACATTTACAATTTGTATGTACAATGTTTGTTGCCAATTTTATGAAAGTATCCAAGCAGCATCACGGCCTGTAATACTGTACAACATTGCTCATAAAGTCGGCTCATGTATCATCATCCTGACACAAACTCACAGCGTTCAGCATCAAGTTTTGTGGCCGTTAAATCAAAAACATCAGCTGCTATTCACGTTCATACACTCTAATAATAATTCTGTAGGCCTGTCTGTCTTTATAAATAATGTTTATATATATATACATACACAGGGAAATACTTTTTAAAATAGTTTTTGTTTATTATTTTATTAAACAAACAAACTGATAACAATAATTTTCTGTAGCATCTTTAAAAGTTGCATCTCAAAGCACTTTTCAAAATAAAGTGAAACAGATGCATAAATAACAGAAATAAAGAAAATAAATAACGAAAACACAGAGAACATGTAAACTCCACACAGAAACCACACATGTAAGAACAGTATCCATCTGAAAATGCAGGATTGCAATTATTCAGCAAAGCCTTTATTAACAAGGTAAAATACTAGTATTTTTGACCAGTCTGGTGAACAGTTTAAAGCCATTAAATCTTTAAAAGGGCTTAAAATAGTTAAAATCCTCTTTGCAATGTCAGTGTACAGCAATAGTTTACAGCAGTGTATAGATTTACTGTTGTAGATGGTGCTACAGTGCACGGTGCTCAGCTATAGCACTGAGTAAATAAGTAGAGCAATGACCAAGCAGTAATCTCCCACTCTCCCTCGTGAAGCTAACACAGAAGTACCTGCAACTGCAATTCATGGAAATCCCACTACTCACGGCTCCTTAAAGAGCAGATTTCTATTGAGCCCACTGTTAAAATGGCCGACTTTACAGCAGAATAAAGGTGTTTTGGTTCATATGGCTAATATTAGCCTTCATGATAACTGTGAGGGGGGTGATGTTTCTTATGACTCATCCGTTTTTCTTTATTTATTTATTTTCCTTTATATTAAGTCTGCATAATTAAGGGTGTGGCCACTTGAGTGACAGCTAGGTCTCGCTGGTCTCGGTCTCCTCACCTCAGCTGATTCCGGCTGATTAGCCGCTGAACTTGATGTATTTTTGTGTTGTTTATGCGGCTTTACACAGTCAGTTGTCTTTTGGAATTGTCTCCTACAAGAATCAGATGATATTGCATGCTGTGTGCACTTCACTAACCGTTCATGTGGCCTCCGTTTCCCAGGTGAATGAAATATTTTATACATCATCTCTATAAATGTATTTGTTTTGTATAAGATCATTCATCATTTAAATGTTCTTTAGAGCTGTAATGCACTCCAGAATCTGTCAGATTGATTAGCTGCAGGCTCTAGATCAGTCATCTGAAGTGTTGTCATACAGTGTTATGCTGGAGTTCATCAATAGTCTTGTCTTCTTGTGTTAAGTCTTGTGTCCTTTATTTGTCCTTTGTTTATATGGTGCACGCTTGTTCAACACTTTGGTAAACACTTGTTGTCTTTAAAAGCGCTTTATAAATAAACATTGTCTTGACTTGTCATTGATTTATTAATCCTGTTTGCTTTTTGAGCACTGTTGAGCGAGTTTTTAAACACCTGTGATTGGTCATCGTGTTCCTCTACAGAGATGATGATGCTGATGACTGCGCTGATCACAGCTGACCCATGACAGACGCAGTGGAGAAAACTCGTTCTACAGACAGCCTGGATCCACAAGTATCACCGATAGCTTACATTTAAATAGATTTGTCTTTTTTATTCAGAGTCAACACATAGATATGATCATATAATCATTATCAATGTGCAGAAACGAATAAAATCACATCCCTGCATCCCTTTTTATTATTCTTCTGCCAATTAACCTGAAAGGGGTTCCAGATTTGGTAAACCATATGTAACTGACTGTAGTTATTGTAGAGTGGAGAATCATTTACCTCAGTGTGTCCAGTTTACAGTGTTGACTCTTCAGTCCATCAGAGAGCTTCTTCACTCCTGAATCCTGCAGGTCATTGTTACTCAGGTCCAGCTCTCTCAGCACACAGTTTGAGGATTGTAGAGCTGAAGACAAACTCTCACAGCACTGAACAGTGAGTTTACAGCCCTGTAGCCTGTGTAGAGGACAAAAACAATATATATGTATTGATCTGGTGTGTTTAATAGTCTGAAGCACGTCTGACTATAGTGACTGGTTTAACTTCACTAATTAGTGAGAACATCTGCTGATTGTAGCATTTAATAGTTTTAATGTCCATAAAACAATTAAATGGCTCTTACCAGAAAGAACTGTTGGGGTGCTGTTTCATTTTATAGCTGACTTTTGTGCAATTTTTGTTAATGGACAATGTAATATACTGGCTGTTTCTTATGAGATAGTTCTCCTAAACCTTTACTCTCCATTAAGGGTGCTTTCACACTTGGTTCAATTGCCTGGACCGTACCCAAGTTCGATTGTCCCCCCTTGCCACCTCCTCGGTTGGTTTGTGTTCACGCTGTCTTTTTTCCTTCTGAACCAGGTACGCTTGCGTCATCAAGCTGCTGTTTTGTTTATGGCCATTTCTAAGTGAAGGTGACGCAAGCAAGCGCCGCTCATCGTGGTCATTCTGCTTTTACTGAGTCGTTTGGTTTTGGATATACAGTAAGCGACTCGCGTCTATCTGCCGCAAACATATTATAAACATTCAGAACATCACACAGTGTCTGCAGGAGCTGTTTTTGGAGGAGACAAGCAAACATCACTGAGTATCACTGTGTTTGCCCTGTCTCAGTCACACATGTCACCAAGATACGAAACGTGACACACACACACACATACACGAACGAACGTTATGAGAACGATAGTTAGTTGTACAGTTGGCGGTTCACTTCCGTTATTTGGTACAATTGCATTCACATCAGAAGTGAACTGTACCAGAATTCGCATGAACGGTACCCCAGACCACCTCTTTCAGGCGGACTCAGGTACGGTTCATGGGTGCGCATCCGAGTTCAGAAAACATGTTCACACTAACTAAACGTACTGTACTATGACGTCAAACAAACCCAGGTGTGGACTGAAAGTGCTAGTGTGAAAGCACCCTAAAGAAGGTCGCACACCAGAAGCGCCACGACACGGCGCGCACATACCAGTATAAAGTATTACACACCAGACGCGCACATTCACATAATATTTAACATGAAACTGATCAGATGGCGCTCTGTGGGGCCACTGAAATATGAACTGCGACCTGAGTCGTGGCTGGGCGCTGCCGACAGAAGCCGAGATGCAGCGCCGGTGTGTACCCTGATAGAAACCTATGTTTAGAATTTTAAAATACATGGCCCTGCACGACGCCGAGCGACACTTCTGGTGTGCGACCTGCTGAAATCATTTATATCCAGTAGATTACGTGGAGTCTGCGCTACCTTTATGATGTGACATGGTTAGACTTTTGATTCTAGAGACACATTTGACTGTACAGAGCCGTTTTGACACGACAGCATGGAGATCTTTAATCATCTAATCACTGAAATTAGCAAGTTGTCTAGAAGTGGCTAAGTCAACTTGGATGAGTGAGCAATTTGCAACCAGAATATTTAAGAATTAGCTAACTCAACATCCTCTGACTAACTTTAGGATGTTGACATACTGTCCGTGAGAAGACACGCAAAACCCGGACTGTGAAAGTCTGAGCGATGTTTGATCCCTAGTGAACGCATAACTGAAGAGTATTGGAACAGATATAAATCTAAACTCTAAATTAAGTCATAAATGATGAATGTGATCCGTTCTTACAATTAGAAATACAGGCTAAATTTTAGGATCACTTAAAATTGGAGGCAGATTAAATTCAGAGCTAAAAAAACAAATATAAATAAATTCTAATAAATAAAATGCTTTTCAGAAGCACTAGAAAAGCTTACATTTATTTAACTTTTGACCATGCTGTTAGTTTCATCTTTGGGATAATAGATGGACTCCTACAGATGAAAGAATGAAGCACTTTGACTTACAGAGCTCTTTTGGAGGTTTTGATGACTGCTGATAGTCTGATGAGACACTCGTCTGATCTCGGGAATTTCTGAAGCTCAAACTCCTCCAGCTCCTCCTCTGAGGTCAACAACACAAAGACCAGAGCAGACCACTGGGCAGGTGAAAGGCGAGCAGATGACAGACTTCCTCTTCTGAGGTGAGACTGAATCTCTTTCAGCAGAGTTTGGTCGTTCAGTTCATTCAGACAGTAGAGCAGATTGATGGATCTCTCTGGAGACAGATTCCCTTCAAGTTTCTGCTTGATGTAGGCAATTATTTCCTCTTTGCTCTGGTCTCTGTCATCCTGCTGTGTCAACAGGCCTCGTAAGAGTTGTCGATTGGACTGGAGTGACAGACTGAGAAGGAAGCGAAGGTAAAGATCCAGATGTCCATTCTCACTTTCCAGAGCCTTGTCCACTGCAGTCTTCAGGAAATCAATCATGGACTCATCTCTGCTTTTTTCTGCTTGTGTCTTGTCATTGTCTAGAATCAGATGTTGATAAAGGGCTGCAATGAACTCCTGAATGCTCAAGTGAAGAAAGCAGTACATGGTACCAAGAATGATTCCCGTCTCCTCCTTAAAGATCTGGGTACACATGCCTGAGTACACCGATGCCTTATAGACGTCAATGCCACAGTCTTTCAGATCGCTCTCATAGAATATCACATTGTTTCTTTCCAGCTGCTGGAAGGCCAGTTTCCCCAGTGAAAGGATGAGCTTTGGATCCCAGGAGACATCTGCTGTGTTTTCTCCATCATACTTTCTTCTGCTCTGCTGGATCTGAAAGCGGAGAAAGTGTGTGTACATCTGTGTCAGAGTCTTGGGAGATTCCTGCAGTGTTTCAGCATGAGCCCTGTGTTTCAGTTTCAGTATGTTCTGGAGAACAGTGGCTGAAATCCAGCAGAAGACTGGGATGTGGCACATAATAAAGAGACTCTTTGACTGTTTAATGTGATCAATGATTTCTCTGGCCTGATTCTGATCTGTGAGTCTCTTTCTGAAGTACTCCTCCTTTTGGGCATCATTGAATCCTCGTATCTCTGTCAGCCGGTCGATACAGTCAGCAGGAATCTTACTGGCAGCTGCTGGTCTGCTGGTGATCCAGATGAGAGCAGAAGGAAGCAGATTTCCCTTGATGAGGTTCGTCAGGAGAACATCCAGAGAGACTGCTGAAGATACATCACGACACGTCTCATTACCAACAAAGTTCAGAGGAAGACGACATTCATCCAATCCATCAAGGATGAACAGCACTTTGAATCGTGTGTTTCTTGTAAGGTTCAGTCCTTTAGTCTCTGGGAAAAACTGAGTTATGAGGTCTTTTAAACTTTGTCTTTCTTTCTCCTTCAAGTTCATCTCTCTGAATGGAAGAGGAAATATGAAGCTGATGTCTTGATTTTCTTTCCCTTCAGCCCAATCCAGAACAAACTTTTGCACAGAGACTGATTTCCCGATGCCAGCAACTCCTTTTGTCAGGACAGTTCTGATCTGCTCGTCTTGTTCAGCTGCTTCAAACAAATGTTTGCATTCAACCTGTATCTCTAGTGACTGATGACGTCTGGAAGCAGCTTCAATCTGTCTGATCTCATGTTCAGTGTTGACCTGTTCACTCGCACCCTGAGTGATATAGAGATCTGTGTAGATGTTATTCAGAAGTGTGGAGTCTCCTTGATGAGCAATTCCTTCAAACACACTTTGATATTTCTTCTTCAGGCTACATTTAAGCTGATAAATGAAGAACAGCTCACCTAAACACAGGAGCAAAGAAACAGAGAGTTTTAGACTCGACTTATTTGTAAGTGTCAGTCTGACAGATTGAGATGAGTAGGGCCAGACTGAACTTTCAGACATTTTTTGCTATTTCTGAGGAGAATCGTGCAATATCATAACTAAAAACTAAGCTAAAAAACTTTTTAACTTATAAAATAATATTTAATGTTTACAATACAAATCCAATTAGATCCACTTAATTGGTAAACAAAGCACAAGACTCTTCTATAGCAGATCTACTAAAGGACAGAAAATATGACTTTACAAACTGCACTGCAAATAAATCATGAACATTTTCATATTAGTCAATAATATTACTGAAATTAATAAACTGAATGAATATAAATGAACACACATTTACACAGGTAAATAAATAGACTCAATGACAGGTTATAAATCTGTGTAAATCTGCAGGTTTCGTGTGGGTCTATCCATGAGTGTCTTACCCTGGAGAGTATCAGCAGCTTGATCTTGCTTCATCTCTCTCAGGAAGAAGAGTGTGAGATCAAGAGCTGCTTCTTTGATAATGCTTCTGTTCTCAATAAACTCCTTTACAAACTCTTGACTGTTTTCTTCTTGTAAGATCTTCTTAAATTTCTCCAGTTGATTCTTCAGAAATCTGATCATTTTACTCTCAAGATTCTATGAGTGAAGAAAAGAGAAGATCAACATTTAAACAAAACATTCATTAACATACAGCTATACATCCACAACCTACTCAATAATGAAAGTTTATTATAGTACAGTATCCTATGAGTCTGTTAAATGCTTGTTTCTGATTAGCTGAATGACATTTAAAGGTTATTTCAGGTAAACACACAGTTAAAGTACATCCAAGCAGGTTGAGCACATTACACTTAAGGGGGTCACACACCGGATGCATCACTCAGAGCCGCAACGCAGCTGGAAGTATCGCACACCAGACACACACGTTCACATGTTATTAAAAATGAAATTTCACAGCTACAAAGGACAAAAACCACACTAAAACCAAACACAGTCTTTGGATGAGATGTTTAAGAGACTAGTCTACACACAGGAGCAGTTTGAGAACAAATACCTGACAAATGTCTGAAATGCAACATTTGAACGGCTGTGGGAAACAGATAAACCTAATAAACATGTAAACCAGGGCCATTCAATTGGCGGCCCATGCACTGAACCCGGCCCCAAAGACTATTTGTTCCGGCCCGCCAAATAGTGTGACCAAGACATCAAAAATACATTTAGTTCAGTCTAAAAACAGCTGCTATAGTTATGAAGTGACGTGCGTCTGTTTAATACAGCAAGAGTTGCAGATGAAGGCTGCAGAGCCAAGCCACCTGACATCAAGCGAGTGGTGCGAGCAGCTGAAAACATTCGGATATGCTTGTAGAAAAGGCCTTTTGCACAATGCACTGATATCGTTAACAGGGACGCAATGATTAGCTGATTTCACTATTAACGCCACTTTTATTCATTAAAGGCTTCTCAATGCCGCATTTCTGTTGCACGCACATTGGATTAACTATAGCAGCAAGCCGTTGACATATTGCATCGTTTCTGCACGCAAGTACAATATTTCCATTGGAGACGTGTGCATAATGGCAGTGGTGCACGCACGGCTCACAAGCAGACCGACACACTGGCGCCCTGCAGGCGCACGAAGTAGAAATGATCTCACGCTGTAGCAGTGAGAGTTGTGTGTGCTTAATCTACTGAATTTGCTGTTATAAAATATGAATGTTCCAGAAACCGCATCTTAAATAACAAATAGAGCTGTAAATGTGATATATTACTTATATACATCATGTACCGTTGGGTTTTTATTTGAAAGCACCTAATAAGCATTCAAATAAATGTAAATTCCTCTTTGCCAGATATAATGAAGGCATCAAAATAACCGAATGAAAACGGAGGCAAAAAAGAAACTCCTCTTCTGGCTCCATCAGACAGTCCTTCTGCACATGCCCAGGCTCCAATTTCAGCATTGTTTTACCACAGTTTGTGCCCGTCACGAGGCATTTTTCCTTCAAAGCATTTATTGGGAAAAGGCGATGTTGCGTTGTCCGTATTTTATACAGTCATCGGTCTGTACTGTACCGTTCCTGCTCTTCTATATGAGCAGGGATTTTCAGCCATTTCAAAGCACCAACTGCAGATGATTTAGCAACTTTATCTCAAAACAACTTCTGGACTAAAGTCTCATGAGCGTGAGGTATTTCTCTGGTACAGTCAGATCTCTGCTTCTCCTTTGTTTTAAATTTGATCAGTTTATTATTTGGCAGCAGTTACTCAACTTATATGTCGCTGCTTTGCTCACTCAGCAGAACAATCGGGCGCACATGAGTGTGAGAGTGATTGTAGCGCCTCCCGATGGTGAATGCAGTTATACTCATGGCAGTTAGATTTGGGAGGAGTCTGCTTTTTTATGGCTTATCAATCCTTATCATGACTATATAAGCAGCAGACATTGCACTGTGTCAGCTGATTGTTTTTTAGATTCAGATATGCTAATTTATGCATACGCCACCTATTGACATTTAGCGACTCTTCGAGCAGAGCTTAAGTCGATTAAAAGTAGTCACCAACCCTACACGTGAAATCTGTCTGGTCTGTGTATTTGAAAACCTAAAAGTTCAAAACTAGTCCCCATTTACAGAATGTAATCCTGTTTTAACCAAGCCATCTGTGTTTAGACGTCTATTAAATTGATATATGGAGAAATTGACTCTAGTCTGTTGAATTATAAGAGAGTAATGCACATCAGAGATTTCCATAAAAGAGCTGAAATACTCATTTTGATCATGTTCATGAGATAAACACAGATCTGAACAGTAAAGGCTTTTATCATTTTTATTTGTGTACATTCATAATCACAACTAAACTATATGTTCTTGTAAAATGAGTAAAACTGACCGGGAGTGCCTTCGCTTTCTGTGTCTTCTGTCAACATCTCTGGCAAATGTGTCAAAGAAAACCCGAAATTACAGAGTGTGTTTTTATTGGGGACTACTTCATCATCTCCTCCCAGCTGTTTCTACTGTGCTGTTTGTCGTCTTCAGTTTGCATTTTAGAAATGTTTTTAAAAAGACCCTCCCTCACGTCTCTTGTGCGTATGGTAATGCTTAAGGGGACGTAATATTGAAATAGTAAAATTTGCTTGCATTTTGAATATGTTGTCAAATTTATCCCGATATTATCGCTAATAGTCAATGCATCACTCTGCCCTGCTCATGACTAATGTACATGCATTATTATTATTCATGTATAATATTATCTCTCATTGTTTACAATAATATTCCCTCAACTGTCACCATTTTAAAGCACAGTTCTGCATGGCTCAAAATAAGCTGCTGCATGAATGAATGAGATGATGAAGATCTGCTTATGCTTTAATGTGTCCTTTCTGCAAGTGATTGACTATTACTTTCAAAAGTCAGTCCCTGCAGATAATGTGATATGAAATCAATTTTCGATAAAAAATTCTTACGTTGAGAGACGTATTGTTTAAAGTGATTTTGTTTATATTGTGTCAAATGTATTTTTCCCTGTTCTTCTTTTGTTGCCGTGACTCCTCCCCTGATTCCAAAATCATGAGAAATTCAGACACGATCACAAGAAAACAAGAAAGAAAATATATTTTAATGTAAGACCCTTCATAGATTCAGACAGGTCAAGCAGGTTACAAGATTCAGTCCTCAAAAGTCTTGTGAACAAATATTTCTGTGTTTCATGGAGTTATTTCACCGATTTTATGACTCAAAATGAGTTTTTTCCCACCTGGAAGATCCACCGGAGATTGTCTGTGAAGCTCTTGTGTCTCCAGAGAGTCTCGTCTCCTGAATCTGCTGACTCATATTCATCACTGTTAACAGATAAAACTACTGTAATCATAGAGGCAAACACATACAGATACATCTTACAAACACTGAACATAATATGTGTTCTGTATACAGATATTCATTCATTTTCCTTCAACTTAGTCCCTTATTTATCAGGGGTCACCACAGCGGAATGAACTGCCAACTATTCCGTTTTACGCAGCGACTGCCCTTACAGCTGCAATCCAGTAATAGGAAACACCCATACACTCATTCTAACTCACTCACACGCACACACACACACACACGCACACTATGGCCATTTTAGTTTATTAATTTGCCCTATAGCGCATGTATTTGGACTAATATGTTAAAAACAGCTCATGTGTGAGCAATAATGTACAACACTGAAAACCTTTCAGCAGATGATGGTGTTTTCTCTCTGAGGTCTGGTGGACGCTCTTTAGACCAATCACTCTTCAGAGACACAGAGCTGAACACACATGATCCTGATCTCACACTGAACACACAAACACACCAGAGGAAATGAGCGTCACCACCTGCTGCAGTCTCTTTTAAGAACACTGGAGGGCACAGGGGTTTATTTCCCATCAGCCCCTGTGCTCCTAAATTTCTTTGTAGCAAAATTAGCAAAGAGAATTATTAATGATTAATAATTCATACTTTCCTATGGGCTCAGTTAGCTAATGTTATCCCTTTATTCTTCACTTGTATTGCCTCTTCCTATAGCAACTGATTATGTGTGTTAGATCAGTTTCAGTGTTCAGTGGAGTTAATGAAGCATTACTTGTGTCACTCTTCAAATTGTTCATTATTTGCTCCTAAATGGAGTCTCTGATCTTGTAGAATCCTCTAAATTTTCATGCCTGGGCTCTCAGAGGAAGACAAAGGATCACTGGAGTTATAAAACATGTAGATTTTGTTGATAAAAACACACACATGGAAATTGCCAATCTCTGAACTAATCTAGATTACAAATGGCTCATTTAAATTCTGCCGAAGGCATTCAGAATATGTGTGCTACCCAAATAATAAGCCTTTAAGTTTGCCTTAAGTCTACTTAAGTCTAAGTCTAATAAGTTTGCAACAGAGAAATACCGAGAAATCTCTGTAGACTGATGGCATTTCATGCAGTTCTGCCTTATAGTCTTAAATGTGAGCAAAATCAGCTGTTTTATCATCACTTTAGACATTAAGCTAGAGAATCATTCAAACACTAAAATGCTATCAAAGTGACATTAGTGAAGTAGAAACGGTTTCTGCTGTTCTGACGTCAGCTGCAGAAGAAAGTAGTTCCACATACAAAAGAGTTTATAGACTCTCTGTTTGATTTTCTGTTTTCTATACACATGATCATGCTGCAGCACTGTTGTATAAACGCAATATCACACGAGTAGCACTGCCAATCTCCTGTTCCACCACATCCCAAAGCTGCTCTATTAGATTAAGCTCTGGTGACTGTGGAGGCCATTTGAGTACAGTGAACTCATCGTCATGTTCACCAGTCTGAGATGATTGAGCTTTATGACATGCTGCGTTATCCTGCTGGAAGTAGCATCAGAAGATGGAGACACTGTGCTCATAAAGGGATGGACATGGTCAGCAGCAATACTCAGGTAGGCTATGGCGTTGATGCTCAATTGGTACTAATGGACCCAAAGAAAATCTCCCCCACACCATTACACCACCACCACCAGCCTGAACCGCTGATACAAGGCAGGATGATCCATGCTTTCATGTTGTTGGGGCCAAATTGTGAGCCGAGCATACGAATGTGTCAGCAGAAATGGAGACTCATCAGAGCAGCAGCGTTTCTCCAATCTTCTATTGTCCAGTTTTGGTGAGTCTGTGTGAATTGTAGCCTCAGTTTCCTGTTCTTAGCTGACAGGAGCGGCACCCGGTGTGCTCTTCTTCTGCTGCTGCCTTTCTATCAGCTGGAACCAGTCTAGCTATTCTCCTCTGACCTCATCAACAAGGCATTTATCGATCATTTGTTGCGCTTTGCAGCTCTCTCTGTATTATGCTGCCTAACTGCCTGTCTGGGTTTCAACTTGGTCCGTTAATGACGTCATGAGGGCGGGTACTTTCACTTTCACTGCTACAGCTGCTCACCTCTGCTCATGTTCAGACCAAAAGAACAGCGCGGTTCAAACTAAGATCTGTGCGGTTTTTCACATGTCAGGTTTTTACTTCCTTCATACATGTTGAGATCGAGTTTATTGACTTGATGAGGGAATATGTCTTGACAATCCACACAGACGTGACTTAGTAAAGCATGAAGTCATGTAGGACTTTACTTGTTGCATTAGTCTGAATGTAAATCCCCTCATCAGGCAGTGCTGGAGTAGTGTAAGAGAGTGGACCAAAGCGTGTTTGATGCAAAGGGTATTAACAAAAGAAAAATACACAACTGAAGACACTTAAATGCTTGTATTTGCACCAGCTCTGCGATGCATGCCCGCAACTTCATGCATTGGGTTAAATTAATAAATTGGGTTAAATAAATGATTTGATTAGGCTGTCCAGTCTCTGTGTTCAGTTCGTCACTACCATGATTGAAACCCAGACAGGCAGTCAAGCAGGTCACGACACAAAGTGCACATGACAGTTTAAAGTATCGCACACCAGACGCGCACATTCGCATGATCTTTAACATGAAACTAATCTGATGGCGGTCTGTGGCTCGGCTGAAATATAAACTGCGTCCTGAGTCGTGGCTGGGCGCCCTGACTTGCGGCGCCGATGTGTGTTCCCTGATTGAAACCTGTGTTTAGAATTCTAAAATGCATGCCGCTGCACGTCGCTGAGCGGCACTTCTGGTGTGCGACCTGCTTCATACAGAGAGTGAACCAAAGCGCATTGGTGGCATTATAATGGATCAAATATTTTTATTTAAAAAATGCGATACCACGACCTAATATAAAATTAAACAGTCTAAAAACAAATTCAAATTAATCAAAAAAAAAAAAATGCACAGCCCTAGTTCTATCTGACATTTTTATTAATTTAAAATTAAATAACAACTTATTTACATTATGGGATTTTTTTTTTTTTTTTTTATAAGTCGTTTACATTTTAAAACTTTATTTAAAAACAAATGTCACACACAAACTGTTTACTATGGAATGCAAAAACTTTAAACTCAATATCTCAAAATCATTCAGAACGCAGAGAGAACCTTAAAACTCCAAGGTGATGATTTGTCTGCCATCTTGTTCCTTGGATTATTCTGTGTTTGCTTTGATCTTCACCTTGTCTTTGGGATTTTTATTTAATAGATGCTGAACATCAAGCTTTTGAAGTGTTGTGTAAATATAATAAAATGTTCGAACAACTCCTGAAACAGTCCATGAGTGAGCAATAATGTAAAACACAACATACCTTTGTGCGGATGATTTTGTTTCCCCACTGAAGTTTGGTGGATCATGATCTTTAGACCGGTCACTCTTCAGAGACACAGAGCTGGACACACATGATCCTGATCTCACACTGAACACACAAACACAGGTCTGCTACACAGGAATCATGGGTAAACAGACGAGTGATGTGCTGCTTTCTCATTCTGCACAATCTCAGATTCACTGAAAACACATTTGACTCTAAAACCTAGTGATGTAACCTCTTGAGTAAAAACTCACCACAGAAACCAGAGGAGGAGATATAAAACACTAAACAGTATTGTGTATCTGTAGATATTAACATAATCTATGAGTCTGAGGGACAAAACTATTTGAACATTTCCTTTCACTGAACTGTACACCAAGTTTAACATGCACGTTTATACTAATTTAAGTTCTGTTGATCTTCTTTCTCTCCTCTATAAGCACAAGCTGAAACTGTTCTGTGGTCAGCTTTAACTCTGATGTTGTTCTGGACTTTAAACCCGACACATGACACATATTGAGCTCTGGTAAAGATGACCCTAGATCAGGCTGTCTGTAATCTAGAATGATCTAAACACATTTGCTGAAGCTGTAAACTGAAGCTTTGTCCATCATTTGATCAGGCAATAGCAGCACAAATAAGTGCATTGTTGTTGTTCTTTGTTCTTCAGAGAAAGTGTTGAAATAATGGTGTAAAAACAGAGTCAATACCTGTGTTTCTCTGAGAGAGAGTCCTTTACTCGCTCCTCTGCCATACTGCAGCTAAAACACCAATGCAGACATTAGCAGAGCTTTCAGGAAACAATCAGCCGCTGACCATCACCTGGAGATGACAATATACTGAGATGAAGAACAGCACACTTTATAGCAATCAATGCTCACTTCACTAACAACACCGCACTCAAACACACCACATGATGAGGGATAGCACAGACTGACTTTCAGTCATTTCACAGCAGATATATAAATATATATATGTTGAGGTGGAACCTCTGGAATGTTCTGATAGTCCTTGAAAACTGGAGACTCCGGTAAGAGAGTAAAGGGCTCGGAGAGTTTCATCCAAAAATAGCTTTAATGAGTGAGTACGTGTGTGTGTGTGTGTGTGGTCTGGAACATAAAATAGAACAAATTAAGTATCAATAAAATATTACAGGTTTAGCAATTAACAAATAACAGTCAAACATTTCCATTTAGATTACAACAGAAAATAATCTTTAGGTATAGGAATAAATTCACTGTCAAACTGTAGTGTTTAGAAATGACTCAACATTACACCATGTGTCAAAATATAAACATTAATCCAACAAGGAAACATACTATGGCATAAATAGTTTGGACTAGCATATTAGCTTCCCAACACAGATTAACATATAACATAAGATTATGCAAATATATGCATTAAAGGTGAAATACAACATTACAGATATTGTTACAACAGTATTAACATAAGTATTACCCATATTTTTGGTGGGAATCAGTAAATAAACTTACTTTCTTGGCATGAACGCACACAGGATAGATGTTTGCCTTCTCACCGTGCCTCACAAGTGATTTTTGCCATGTGCTTGCTCTTGAAAGCGAAAGTAGTGAATGTCGGTCAAATTAGAGAGGTGCGCCATCTAGGGTATACTCATAAGAACTGCAACCCTGTATAGGACTTTCCTACAAAGCCGCCCCCAAATTTACTAGATAAATTTGTAATTAGTCTAGGGAAAGTCTCAAGGCTAATTGTTTCCTTCCTCATCTTCCCATGATGGTAACTTAACTAACCGGGCGACAGGCCGAAGATAAGTTCGCTCTTTTACTTGCACTTCTGCAGTACGTACGCAATGATCTACACCAGCATATGTCTTAATCACTTTACCAATAGGCCATGAAGCTCGTGGCAACTGTGGATCAACTACCATGACGATCTGTCCAATAGTTAAATTGCCGGTGTCCCTTTGCCATTTTTGGCGTGTCTGTAGGCCTGGTAAGTAATGCCGTACAAAGTTTACCCAAAAATGATCAGCCAAAATTTGACTATGTCGCCACCTCCTTCTACCTAACAGATCACTAGAGGAGTAGATCGCTTGTGGGAGTGATGCATCGCGACGGCCCATCAGCAATAGATTGGGTGTGACTGGGTCTGGATCAGCTACATCCGAGGAAACATACCCGAGTGGCTTGGAGTTGATGATGCCCTCAACCTCTACCAGCACTGTACGTAAAACGGACTCAGTCACACTTCGATTGCCTAGGACTACCTGAAGAGCTGTTTTGACAGACCGTATCTCTCGCTCCCAGGTACCACCAAAATGCGGGGCATGTGGCGGATTAAACTGAAATGTAATTTCCTGACCAGCTAACTGTTCTTTAAGTGAAGCTTCTAACGCTGTAAAAGCTTCTTGCAATTCAGTGGCTCCTCCCCTGAAATTTGTCCCCCTATCCGCCAGTATCTCAAATGGCTTTCCCCGACGTGATACAAATCTTCGTAAAGCCATCAGAAAGGCATCTGTGTCCATGCTCTCTAAGAGATCAAGATGTATACAACTTGTCGTCATGCATTTGAATATGATGCCCCAGCGTTTCTCAGTGCGTCGTCCTATTTTAATGGTGAATGGGCCAAAACAATCAACGCCTGTTGACCAGAAAGGGGGTTTATATAGTCTTAAACGTGATGGAGGCAAGTCTGCCATCTTTGGTATTACAGGCTTTGCTCTCCATTTTTGGCATGTTTCACAGTTGTACTGGTGTCTCTTAATGGATTCCCTGCCACGAAGGATCCAGTATTTGCGTCTGATCTCACCTAAGACCCGTTCTGGACCTGGATGGAGAAGCTGGTTGTCATATTTCTTGATTAGGAGCATGGTAATTGGATGTTTAGGGTCCAGTATTATGGGATGTATGGTGTCTGGAACTAGGCACTCAGCTCTGCGAAGCCGTCCGCCTACTCGGATAAGACCAACTGTCTGATCATACACAGGGGCTAGTGCAGCCAGACGGCTCTGGGTGGATATGGGTTTACCTTTTGTCAGTGCACCCACCTCTTCTGGAAAGCTGTCACTCTGAGCTTGCCTTAGTATATGTAACTCAACCTCAATGGCATCTGCTGCAGTCATGGAATCAGCCGCCCCGTGAAGGGACTGGTAAGTAAACTTCAACAGTTCACTCCAATTTTTATAATTGGAGATGGCAGGTTGAGGCGTAGTGATGATTGTATTGCCACAGAATGTTTGTTTTCTTAGCTCATCATGATCATCAGGAGCAGCTAATTCAGGCAGGGATGGCCAGGTGTCTGGATGCTGGTGAATGAACTGTGGTCCTTGACTCCAGCGCTGGGATTTGGTTAACTCTACCAAAGTCTTCCCCCTGGTCAAATCATCCGCTGGGTTGTCTGCAGTGTTAACATATCGCCAACAAGACTCCAATGTCAAATCCTGAATTTCCGCTATGCGGGTTCCGACAAAGACTTTATAGCGGCAGGAGTCGGATTTTAACCAACTCAGGACCGTTGTCGAATCAGTCCACAGGACAACATCTCTGGCAGGAATAGACAACTCTTTACTGAGTAACTTTGCTAGCTGCGCTCCTGTGAGAGCTCCACAAAGCTCCAAGCGTGGCATTGATATCTGTTTGCGTGGAGCCACCCTGGATCTTGCCATCACAAAAGCAACATGTGTCTGGTTATGCTGATCTAAAGTACAGAGGTAAGCGACTGACCCGTACGCGCGTTCAGAGGCATCGCAGAAGATATGTATGGTTCTCTGCATGCCTTCTGTGTCTGCACATGGTGGTATGTATGCTCGGGGTATTTCAACGGTGTGCAAATTAGCCAGTTCAGCCTCCCATTGGCGCCACTGTATTCGCAGGCTTTCTGGGTGGATAACATCATCCCAACCAACTTTTAGGTTCCAAAGATCCTGAATTAATATCTTTGCTTTCGTAGTGAAAGGTATTAGATATCCAAGTGGGTCATACTGCGTAGCCAGTACCTTGTAAACATTTCGGAGTGTGGGTTCAGAATAATGAACTTGACGGTGTTGGTATCCAAGATGGTCAGTGAGACAGTTCCAGCGGAGACCCAAAGCTGGCTCTTGTGGATCTGAACTATGCTCAGAAACCCACAGTTCAGTGCTAGCTGCTCTGGCTTCTATTGGGAGGTGTTCTATTACTTGGGGTATGTTGCTGGCCCACTGGCGGATTTCAAACCCCCCTGACGACAGATGACTACGCATTCGGTCAATTAGGCTGCGAGCTTTCTCTGGGCAGTTAAGACTCTGCAAACAGTTATCTACATAGAATGCTTGTTCGACAGACATTTGAACATCCTCATAGCCTACACAGTTGTCTTTCACATGTCGTTGTAGCGCATATGTGGCACAGCAGGGACTGCAGGTTGTTCCAAATGGGAGGACTTGCCATTCAAAGACATTTGGCTCTTCGTTCTTCTTCATGTCCCTCCAAAGGAAACGTAACAGTGAGCGATCTTCTGGCAAAAGTCTGATCTGATGGAACATTGCTTTAATGTCCCCACTGATTGCCACTGTGTGCTCACGAAACCGAAGTAGGACTCCAAGAAGTGAAGGACCCAGGATCGGCCCAGGAAGAAGATGTTCATTAAGCGCAAGTCCTCTGTACTGGTATGAACAATTGAAAACAAGCCTGGCTTTGTTATTGTGGTGGACTAAGTGATGTGGTAGATACCATGATTCAGCAGAGGATTCAACTTCTTCATTTGTCAGCCTCTTTACATAACCTGCATTTTCAAGTTTCTGAATCTCCTCGCAATATGTCAGGGTTTGATTGGGGTCATTAATGATTCTCCGTTCTGTACTTCGAAGTAGTGAAAGACAAGCCGATTTGGGTGCTTTTAGACAAGGACTGTCTTTCCGCCTGAGAAGTGGTGTAGCATATCTCATTGTGCCATTTACATTCACCCTTACAGTTTGCTGCTCGAGCAATTCAAGTGCTTGTTGATCGAGCTTGGATCGAGTGGCTGCTTTCTCACTGATACAAGGTAAAGTGTCGATCTGCCACAATTTCTCCACATGTCTCTGTAGATCTAAGTGGGTAGGTCCCACTGCAGTGAAGAGACACCGCTGCTCATCACTAGGAACATGCATCAGGCTGGCAGGACCTTGGAGTGTCCAACCAAGCGGGGTGCAGATTGCTACAGGTCCACCAGATGGGCCAATATGCACAGGCTGAGTGGGAATGAGCAAATGTGGAAAGTCGGAACCGATTAGTAGTACGGGCCGCACATGATCAATTTCTGGTATTGGTAACCCTCGCAAATGCTTGTACTTTTTCATTAGTACTTTCACTGGGTAAGTATGCTCTGAGAAACCCAATTCATCAGCCGTAAAGGCATGATGGATCTTGTATTTTTGTCTAGGATTGTCAGCGGGTGAAATTTCAAATGATACAGATGACCCCTTCAGGTGAACAACCTCATGTCGGACAGTTCTCAATGAGAGCGTTTCAGGGTTTTTATGCAGCTGGAGGTATTGTGTAGCAGAGGAGAGGAGAATTGTCCGCTCGGAACCATCATCTAGCAAAGCATAAGCCTCTAGTGAGTGTCTGGCATTATGTATGAGTACTTTGACCACCTTTAACATGACCTGTTGAGGACGATTGGGACGGTCAAGATAAATGGTGTCTGCTGAGGTACTGACCATAAGGACCTTGTTGGGCTCCTGCATGTTTACATCATGTAGTACAGTAAGATGCTGCTTTTGACATATATTACAGGGCTTTTTGAGGGTGCAAGCCTCAGGTTTGTGATTGCGTCCACAGCGGAAACAACCTTTGTCTCTGATCCATTCTGTGATCTGGGTAGTCGTCAGTGACTTAAATTTGGAACACATACTGAGATAATGCTCACGGGTATTACAGTATGGACAGTAAGCTTTTGGTTTGTCCCTGGGCTTTTGTGGAAAGGTACGACA